AGCTCAAATCCGTCTCAAGTCGAATGTTCTCGAACTCAAAATGGCTTTCGCTGCGTATCGATGGGGGTATTGCCGCCAAGCGATGAAGCTTTGGCAAAATTGGCGGGTAATCGACAATTAAAAATCAATTGGAATTCTAAAATAAAATAAATAATAAAATAAAATAAAATAAATAATAAAATAAAATAAAATAAAATAAAATAAAACAAAATCAAATCAAATGGAAGTCCGAGCTGAGAGAACTATGTGATAAATGAAATGTTCTGGACAGCGTTAAAAGAATGTTAAGTAAATACAGTTATATATAATAACCCGACCTAATTATAGAATCAACCCCCGTCGGGCAAATCGAATCCATCTCGAATGGAATGTTGCTCGAATTCGAAATGGCTTTTGCTGCTCATCGGTGGGGGGTTTGTCGCTGATCGACAACAACTCATTTTTTGGGATACTCACACTAGGACTTCTTTACTTATTTGGGAACGTAATTGCTGTCAGGTACCTCCAAATCGGGCCGTAATTATGGTCAGATACAATTAAGATTGTGCCAGTGTGAGTATGCTCTCATTCTGGATAATCATCGTTGCTGTAATCGGTAATTATAGTACTAGTAGATCGTATTGCCAGTCTGGGAAACGGCGAGACTTTGGGTCTCGCCGCACGGCACACGAAACGAAAACGAAACGAGTGCATCTGCCWAGGAAAGGTGGCAAAATACACTCGTTACTATTTATAGCAAACCGATGAACCTGGCCATTTTCTGCAGGAAGATGCACTCGTTTCGTTTTTCATTTCGTGTCCCGTGCGGCGACGCCCTTTCTCCTCAAAGATTCATGGTTGCCCACTCCTTTTCCCCCGTCAGTTGTGATGGAGTTTTCAGTGGTTAGCGTTGTTGTCGCTGTTGTCGGTGTCACTGTTGCTGTTGTTATTGTCATCATCGTTGTCGATGTGTCACTGTTGCTGTTGTTATTGTCATCATCGTTGTCGATGTGTCATCTTCGCCTCCGTCGATGTTGTCATCTTGGCCACTCCCAACTCCAGCACTTCCATTGGTACTGCCTCTGTTGTTTGTGACGGTATTTCTGCCGTGATTGTTGTTAATCCTTGCGCTGTTGCTGCACTTGTTGGCGGTATCAGCGATGATGTCGCAGTAGTCCCCTTCACCAAAGTACAGCGTGTTGTATTGGGCCCTTCAGTTATCCCTGGTTGATCAGCTGAAACAACCGTACCACCTACCCACCCAGCAGGAGAATGAACAAGAGGTAGCCCCCCTTCCACCCCTATGTCTTCCTCCTCCAACCACTCCTCCATTCGCCAGCGCAGGTCACGGCCCTCCCGAAATAAAGCCTGACAGACGCCCATCTTTGGGTCCAGTCGTCTCCAATCAAGATATGAAGATGGGTCCAGTCGTCTCCAATCAAGATATGCTTCAAACCGAGGATCCGGCCCCTCCTCCAGTTCCCACAGAATTTCTAACATATCTTGACCTCGGGCTTCCAACCACTCGTCCAGTTTCATCTCCCCCACATCAACCTTCGACCCCTTCTGCATCTGGCCCACTAACACCCCCACCACTGCCTGCAGCTGCTGACATCCCCTCTCCATAGTAATCAACCAGTCATCGGCCCCTTGTTGTAGTTCCATAGTAGTCTCCATAGCTCCCCTGAGAACCGCACCGCTTTTTCACCAAAAAAACAATCATCCACTCGCCGGCGCTTCCCCTGCCCACGTGTTGCGGCGCCTCAACAGCGCCAATCACTGAGTGCCACATGGCTATTGACCAGCCTCGCCACCCTGCGAGGCACGCGTGCAGGCTCAGCAACCCCAGAGTAATCACCCGGGAGCTAGTCGTGCCGGGACAATCGAGCTGTGTCGATCGGCCGACAACGGGGCGCTAGCACTAGCGCAGCGCGGTTCTCCTCCAGCCCATGGAACCCCCAACGGGGACACCGGCCAGGGGACAGCCGGTGGCAGAGGGACCGAGCATCATCTGAGTGGCCAGTCGCTGTGCCTCCCTCCCCGATTACCCCTCCCCCTATGAACATCAGCAGAGACTGCTTTTTAATGCCAATTGGGGG